AATCGAAAGGAGACTGCGACCACACCAGAGGCCACAACATCTTGGTCTTCATATATTCAACTCTGGGTTGTTGCATACACACGCAAATACGCATCCAAGAAGCTGTAACAAGACCCAGAACTACTGGATCACACTCTTTTTTATTTACATACACAAAAGTTGTGAACGAATCCGCTTCTCTGCCTGCATCACTTTGACCCACTTACATGCATGTAGTACAAACATACATTAGCCAACCCAATCATACAATGCCTCAATAAGATCGCAAAGTGAGGTATAAGAAGTAAATATAATCTCAACTGGCCGCCTTTCGCTGTTTAGTGGTTTGGTGATTTTTCGTGAATAAGGCTTTCTGTCTCTGACGATGTCCGTCACAGGACGGGATCATCGGGGTCTTCTTCACACAATTCAACAGACAAAAGTCCAAGGCAACCATCTTTCGGTATCCGGTGCGGTCAATCTACGAATCCCTTCGACCCACCTCCTCAAACGAAATGATAGGTACGCCAGTATTATTCCTCTAATATATACGAAGAAAAGTTGGGTTTCGAGCAATCTCTTGTTTCATAATTGTTATGCTTACTTCCATTTCGAGGGAAAGTGTTGGGTGAAGAGATTCCAAGGTCGGTTCCACCAGAAGACGACGGTGGATTCATCTTGACCAGCTGTCGATTGGCTTTACTGGAACATTCATGCTGACATTGTTTCCTAGACAATCTTCTTCGATTCCCTTAAAAAGGTGCTCAGCTTTCGTGCGTCCTATGACGCACATCATCAGAGCGAGGTAACATCGTCACAACAAAATTCAAGCTGACGAGTCAATAAAACTCACCAGAAAATCCCTAAAAAGTGGTATGTATACTCTACATCTAGCCTCTTTGATCAAGTATAAAGTGATGTGGTTAGTTAAGGTCATATGTCAACTTCGATGTCTATGAGTGTGTCTGTCTCTGTATGTGTATGTGCATAAGCGATCGGCCAAATTGTATTTATTTATTGCTTTCAAGTTTGAGATCACAATGCAGCGTCCTCCCCAGACATGCAGCGAAGAGAGC